CCATTCATTCTCTTGGAAGCTTGTCACGTGAGGATTATTTTCATTTCATTTTATTTATTGTTTTTACCAATTTTCATTGCCTTGACATTTCACCATTATCAACACCAAACATCTGTTCTTGCCACTGCATTTCCATTTGCTACAACATTACACCATCAATCCACATTCACCAGCATACACATATCCTTTGCCGTGACATTTGTATATATCAAGACTAACTATACTTAGATAGAATAGTGCGTTGCTTTGGTTAGACTTTTGTAATTTCACCCAATCCCTGTGGAGACGATATTCACTCATCATTATATTACTTGAGCGATTGTGTATACTTGCACATTATTTGCGTATAATTTATAGTACTCACACGCGCGAACAATCAGCATGATAACAAATAAAGTATCATCTTGATTGATCAATCGTGGTGATGTCAAATCAAACCTTGAAAAAAAAGAATAAACGAAAATAACAACTAAATGACCAAAACGTGTCATACAGACAATGAAAAACGTGTCATAAAGGCAGAAGAAAATGTGTCATAAAAATAGAAAAAAAAACGTGTCTTAAAGGCAGAATTATTAAAAATAAAAAACAAAATAGACTTGAGAGATGCTATATTGACATAAATGTGGCTTGAAAAATAAAAAAGACGTAAAGGAAAAAAAAAGGTGAAAAACACTTCACTAAGTCTTCTTCAACTATATTGACATAAAGATAGACTTGAAGCATATGTTACAAAATTGAAATTAATTCTTTTAAGACCATAATCTTTATCTATTTAATTTCAGCTTTTGATTTTTTTTTTCATTCAACAATTCTAAAATAGTGTAAAACTGAGTTTCACACTAGGTGTAAGTGGATCCTAACCCATATAATTATATTAAAACAGTAGGAAAGGAACACTAAAAAATTAATTTCAATCAATTTTAATTTCAAATTTAATCGAGATCTGATATAATTATTATATGTCATGAGATTTCTAAAATGTGCATAGTATAAATTATCTTTTGGCCACAAAATATATGGAAGAAAAATAGTGCAGTCAAGGTCTTTGTTCACCTTTATTTGCAATTTCTAGGCACTCACATGAAACTAGAAGAAAAATAGTGCAGTCATGGCCTTTGTTCACCTTTATCATTATATATTGACCGCTTTTTGAATCCTTGGGTTAAATGTTTAAATCTGTTCACATCGGAACTTCATGGATCCCTACCAAGACGTGACCTCTTGAGAAATCGCATGTGACCTTTCCTTTTTCGTTCTGAAAACTATTTGTTCTGTTGCTTTTGTTTTCGTCTGGTCTCTATTTTCTTAACTGCACTCTCGGTTTCAAAGTTTTGTTCTTATTAAATCGGATCTACACATCGTATATTTGAGTAAGTCCTCTAACAGAACGTTTTTACATATACAAATATTCGAATTCAAAATATACTTAAGTTTTTACATACACATCGTATATTTTGAGATCGGACTATATCATATAGCAATCAACAAGTTAACATCCAAACTCAAATTGTCATCATTTTTTTACGGAAAAATGACGAGTTTGGAGCACAATGAATAGTCAGGAGACCATTTTATAACTTTTAATAGTCAGAAGACTTAAAAAAGTAACGTCTTATAGTTCAGAGACCATTTTATAACTTTTAATAGTCGGATGACACAATAAAATAACACTCTATAGCCGGTGACTATTTATATACTTTAAAGATTTCTACACGTTAATTAAAGATTTCTACACTCTATAGCCCTAGTAGAGTCCTTGTGTATGCAGAAAATCCTTGTTGGGAGACTCACCCATCAAAGCCAAGGGTGCGACACGGATCGGTCTGGATTAGTCAAGACGAAGCTTTGGAACCGAAAGGACAACAAAAATAAAATCTTATTTATGATAAAATTTACAAAATTATTTAATACTCTCAAAAATAAAATCTTATTTATTATTTTAATGTATTTGTGAATTGTTACTTTGGAGTTTAAACTTTAAAATTACTTCATACACTCTTTTGATAATTTTTTTTTATTAAATTTATTAATTTATGTTTATATTAGCTCTATATAATATTAGTAGATTTTACCTATAGTTAAGAAAATAAGGTAAAAATTTCAGTGAGCTTAGCTAACAACGAGGCAAGCAATGAGCATCGAGCTTAACGAGTAACAAGCTCAATGAGCTTAACGAGCAACGAGTTGAGCCACAAGTTTTCTTAACGAGCACGAGTCAAGCAAAATTTTAACAAGCTTAACGAGAAACAAGTTGAGTTGAACAACAATTTTTGTTTTAACAAGAATGAGTCGAGCATTGGCCAACTCGATAAAACAATGTCATATAGTCGAGGGACCTTTTGTATATTTTACCCAAAAGTCCAATTGAATGCGTGTAAAATACTTAAAAGACTTAAATTTTCCACGAACTAAGACTTTATACAATATTTTAACGATCAAATTTCAACCATTCATGTCAAATTCAATGTCCCCATAATGTCAGACAAAAAATAGAAAATATTACAACGATTTAAGTATGAGTCTTGTGTATAAAATTAAATAGAAAGGAAGACTTTGTTTTTATTTTCCACAAAACCAACACTTTCAATACGATAACTATAAAGTAAAATATCATTTCATAATTAAATTTCACAGAATTTTTATTTAATTGAATAAAAATGATAATTATTTTACTTTAAAGCTATCAAAGATTTTGTTTTTCTTGTCAACAAAATTAAAATTTTGAGTAAAATGTACAAATGGTCTCCCGACTATAGGATATTGTTTATTGAGTCTCGCGACTATTAAAAGTTATAAAATGATCGTCTAACTATATGACTAGTCCTCCGACTATTAAAAGATACAAAATTATTTCATACACTAAAAAATCAAACCTTATTTATTATTTTAATGTATTTGTTAATTGTTACTTTGGAGTTTAGACTTTAAAATTACTTCATACACTCTTTTGATAATTTTTTAATTAAATTTTTTAATTATGTCTATATTAGCTCTTTATACTATTAGTAGATTTTACCTATAGTTAAGAAAATAAGGTAAAAATTCAGTGAGCTTAGCTAACAACGAGGCGAGCAATGAGCATCAAGCTTAACAAGTAAAAAGCTTAATGAGCAACGAGTTTAACGAGCAACTAGTTGAGCAACAAGTTTTCTTAATGAGCATGAGTCAAGCAAAATTTTAACGAGCAACAAGTCGAGTCGAACAACAAATTTTTTTAACGAGCACGAGTCAAGCATTGCCCAACTCGATCGACTCGCTTGATAATCGCCCATACTTTCTACACGTTAACTCTATAGTAGAAACACATTTTTCATAATTATATTTTAAATAATTTTTATTCAATTGGAAAGTAAAGGACAAGACAAATAATTATCTTACTTTAAACATAAAATTATCCAAGATGATACACATTTTAAATCTATACTTTTTTTAATTTTGAAATTTTAGTCCTGACTCAGATAATATAAAGATAATATATTTTTTTTTGGAATCAATAAAAAGGTAATACAATTGAATTATAGAAACATAAAATGATTAAATTTTAAGAACGAGAATTAAACCTATAATTTATGCATTAAACATGCATTTATAATAGGATAATATATCCACAATTTATGTAATAACATAAGTAGTAATAGAATAATTTGACTATTTTGTTTATGGGGTCCATTCATACAATGGCCATTTCTTAAGAAATTTCCACCCATATAATTTTCCAGGAACACTTTTTTTTTGAAAGAGGGTACTTTGTATTAAGAATGGACAAAGTACACCACCTCAATGACCTCATTAAAAATCTCCCTAATCCTAAATGAAGGAAAAAGAGTGCACGTGGTAGGGACATGAACACGCTTTTTTAAATACAGATTAGAACAAGTATGCTAGCTGCCTGTCAAATTTCAAAGGTCGTTGTCTTGTTCAAGATTTCCAAACCCCAAATTGAAGGGTGCAAGTAGGTGCATTGTAAGTAGGTAGTGGCAAGTGCAGGGCAGGGATAGAACAGATGACTGACAGTCGTTTCTCTGAAAAAGTTAAATTATCATATAATAAAAATATTTTCTTTATATTTTTTATTGTTATTATGTTTTTGCTCCTCTATAATTTTATAAGTTCGTCTCCTAACATAAAATCTTTGTATCTGCTCTTGAGCAAACACTGACAGAGTCAACATATATTAAGTCCAAAAGTTTCAAAACTTTCTTTTTTACCCATATATATATATGTGTGTGTGAGAGAGAGAGAGAAAAAATAAAACCTCTTTTAGAAATATTTTGATACCATTTAAAAAGAAATTGACTCATATTTAAAAACATTTAACAAAAAAAATTTTAAAATTTAATTTTTTCACTTAAAAAATTCTTCATATAATTTCTAAATTTGACAATCCAATTTTTTTTCTAACTCTGCCCCTTTGAGCAAATAGAAATACTTGATAAGTCCTTCATTTTAAGGCTTTATAGTTGGTCTCACCGACTGTTTCAAGTTTAAGATTTTGATTACTTTGCATCATCTGTATGAGCCCCATCACGATGACGAACGCTGAATACAATTATTTATAATTTATTTATTTTCCTTTTTTGTGGGGATTAATGTAATTTCCAGGAAGGAAGCAATGGAAAGGAGACTAAGTTTGGTATTGGCGTAGATGATAGAAACCACATTGACTCATAAGTCAATAGACGCGCTGAATACAATTATTTATATTTATTTTTCCTTTTTGTGGGGATTAATGTAATTTCAGGAAGGAAAATGGAAAGGAGACTAAGTTTGGTATTGGCGTAGATGATAGAAACCACATTGACTCATAAGTCAATAGTTTGTCCGTGCATGGGAAGGCTGATGTATCAATTTCCAAGTCTTGCTTTTTCCTTTGTCTTGGTTTCATATTGGAATATATTATTCCAATTTTAGAAATTAAATATAGGGTTTTTTTTTCTATAACAAGGTGATCAAGGGCTTATTCAAATCATGATACAAGTTCAAAGTAGCTGAGAGAGATGAGGATGATGATGGAGTTGAAATGGTTTATTAGGATAGCTGTGATGAGTGTGTTGTTGGTGTTGGAAGGTACTACTACTTATGCTTGTTTGGAGCATGAAAAAATTGCTCTCCTGCAACTCAAACCTTTCTTCAATGGTTTCGATTATCTGTATAACTGGGATGAGGTGAAGATCCCTAATTGCTGTCAATGGAAAGGGATTGACTACTACACCACCACCGGGCGACTCATAGGACTCGACCTTAGTGACACAATGCATGGTAACAAGGGGTGGTATCTGAATGCCTCTATGTTTCTTCCCTTTGTGGAATTGAAGAGTCTTTATTTACGAAGTAATGCCATTGCTGGTTGCATTCAAAATGAAGGTCTTGCCCTTACTTTCATCTTTTATTATTATACACAGGTTTTCATCAAAAACTAGCTGTTGTTTTGTAATTACCCATAATTGTTACGTTTATTCTATTGAAGAAAAGCCACAAACTCCTTTTATGTATTTAAAAAATATTTTTGCAGGTTTTAAAAAACTCTCAACTGCGTTGAATAATTTGGAGATTCTTGACTTAAGTGGGAACCAGTTGAATGATAGTGCATTTGGATCCCTAAAAGTGTTTTCAAATCTGAGGTATTTGTAAAATGAAAGAAGAGTAATTGTAAAGCTTTAATATTCTTTTCATTATTAAAATATTTATCTACTCCTTTTTCTCACAGGAATTAAGGGATTGAAAAAGCTAAAAGTTGTTTATCTCCATGCTGCTTTCACCGATGGAAGTATTTCGCTGCTGAACTTGGCCGAGGCTTTTTCAACAGTTAAGACTTTGTCTCTACTTGGCAATCATCTGAACAAGGCTATGAGTACTCAAGGTAAGTCATTGTTTTCAATTCCAACACTGCTTTATTATGTTTGATTAACTTCTAATACCTACTGCCATTTATTAGGATTAAATCCGTCGACGAACGTGGAGGAAATACTTCTCCATGGGTCTACTCTCAACACTAATATTTTACAGAGCATTGGAGTAATCACTTCTCTTAAAACTCTGTCTTTATCTGGTTGTGGACTTATTGGTTCCTTACCTAACCAAGGTAAATTTATGGCTTAAATTTATGGCTCAAATCTAGACCTCATAATTTTTCAAATATAATTTGGGTAAATTGCATGTTTAGTAGATAAACTATCAGTTTTCTTAAAACTATATTTAACGTTTAGTTTTTGTTATATTTTAGTACATTATCGTTGAAAACTTAAGGGCACTGCATTTTTATGGGTAAATTATATCATTCATCACTCAACTATCTTCTCACTTCTATTTTCGTACTAAATTTCAAAAAAATTTAATTTAACTACTCAACTTTCAAATTACTCCCATTTTAATCAAACTAATATATTTTATTAGTACTTTTTGTGACATGACATTTTTTTATTAAATAGTTTGAGTGATTAAATCAGGAGTAGTTTGAAACTTAAGTAATTAAATTAAGAAAAATTAAACTTTAGAGTCCAAAATGAGAGTGAGAAGATAGTTGAGGGTGATGAATGATGCAATTTACCCTTAAAAACGGTGCCACGTGCAAATAATCGTTTAAGTTTTTTAACAACTGGGGTACTAAAACGAAACAAAACTAAAACTTAGGTATGGTTTTTAAAAATTTTAAAGTTTAGGTACTAAAATTGATAGTTTATGCACTAAATGTATAATTTACCCATATTATTTCTAGAATGTATCTCTTCAATATTTTTCATCAACTTTCTTTTATTTAATATTTTTTTTCAAACCAATTAATTTTAATTAGAATTGTTCCTCTACATTGCTGAAAACAATATGGTAATGGGACCTTCCTCCTATACGCCCATCCCAAAGTTCCAGCTAAGAGAGATCAATTTGTCAAAGTGCATAACATCTCAAGAACTCAGTCTTGAACTTCCCACCTTCCTTCACTACCAATATGACTTGAGATTTGTGGATCTTTCTGGAAACAATTTCAGTGGAACATTTCCAGTTTGGTTGTTAGAAAACAATACGAAGTTAGGGGAGTTCATCTTGAATGGTAATTCTTTTAAAGGTCATCTCAGATTACCATCAGTTCCTAATTCTAATTTAGCTTTATTTGACATATCTGATAACAAGTTACAAGGTCAGATTTCATCCAACATATGTTCAATTTATCCACATTTGGGAGACTTATTCTTATCTAAGAATGCCTTTGAAGGTAACATCCCTCCTTGTTTAAGTGGCATGAAGGATTTATTTTTTTTAGATCTGTCAGACAATCAATTGTCTGGAAGAGTACCGGAAGAGTTGATCATGAAAAGCTTGATGGACGGCTTGAGACTATCAAATAACAACCTCAGCGGAAATGTAGTTCCTGCGATTCTCAAAGCAAATTGGTTGTCAAATTTATATTTGGATGGAAATAATTTTTCTGGAGAGATGGTCAATGTTGATGTCTCTACTTTTCAGTTTCTAACTTCACTGGAGGAAATTGATCTCAGTAATAACAAGTTGTATGGAAAGCTCCCAAGATGGATGGGGAACCTGTCAGATTTGCGGAGATTGGCTTTGTCTAACAACAGTTTTGAGGGTTCTATTCAAATAGAGTTTTGCGGATTGAATGAATTGGAATTTTTGGATCTTTCTCGAAACAATTTATCTGGCTCTATACCATCCTGCGTCAATCCTCCATAGATAGAGCATGTCCACCTTCATGGGAATAGACTGAGCGTTACATTGTCACTTGCTTTTTATAATAGCTCTTAACTTGTGACATTAGATCTTGGAGAAAACAATTGAACCGGTAGGATTCTGAAATGGATTGACACTCTTTCTTCTTTGAGTGTCCTGTTAAGAGCTAATCATTTACAAGGTGAAATTCCAGTTCAATTATGCAATTTGGATTCCTTGAGCATTATTGATCTTTCTCAAAATATGTTTTCTGGCTCTATACCTTCTTGTTTGGGAAATTTAACTTACAAACGCATGAGAATAAGATCATACAACATTATCAATTGATAGAAAATCCAATACAACATTATCAATTGATAGAAAATCCAACAGAGGGTGAAACGACAATAAATCATGCCTTTGCCAACAGCTACATTGAAGAACGGATAGATTTCAGAACAAAGAGTTGGTTCTACTCGTATGGGGGTAACATCGTTAAGTACATGACCGGGATTGATTTATCTTGCAACAAGTTAACTGGTCAGATCCCACGCGAATTAGGAAACTTGAGTGAAATCTATTCTTTAAACTTGTCACACAACAACTTGGTCGGAGTTATACCCTCGTCGTTTTCAAAACTTAAGCAGATTGAGAGTTTGGACCTTTCCTACAGCAAGTTGTGTGGTGAAATCCCAAACCAGTTGGTAGAGTTGAACACTTTGGAGGATTTCAGCGTGGCATACAACAACTTGTCAGGCAGTATTCCAGAATCGAAAGCTCAATTTGGTACCTTCATTGAAAACAGTTATGAGGGGAACCCTTTTCTCTGTGTACCTTTACTTAATAAAAGTTGCTCGAAAGCCGATGCACCATCAACAGAGTCAACTCCGTCAGATAATGATGAAGGAGAAGATAATTGGGTAGACAAGTATGTTTTTTGTGTGAGCTTTGTGGTTTCCTATGTAGTGATGTTGTTGACAGTTTTTGTCGTGCTTTACATAAATCCACATTGGCGAAGAACTTGGTTTTCTTTCGTTGGGAAGTGCATCACTACCTGTCGCTATTCAACCATGGGAAATTTTATTGTGTATCACATCTCCAAAATTTGTGCTTAGCTGCCATGAAGATATCATTGAAGTTGTTTCGTTCTGATCCAAGGAAAAGAAAGAAAATTTGATCTTTTGATCTGATTGTTTCAAATGTGCTTGAGATGAATTGTTGTAAGTCTTTTGTTTAATTTGCAGTTTGAATAAAGCTCTTAATATAGTTTTATTAATATAAGACTCAGACGGCTCGTAAAAGAAATTGGAAGACCGATCGAAATCAAATCTAAGTCAGTAATTTAATTAATAAATCAATCTCGGGACGCGTAAATTCTGATTAATCTCGTTAAAGGTTAAATGTTGAAAATATTTGGATAAGAAATTACCAAAAATAACACTATGAGGTAAAATTATGAAAATGCCCTTGTACTGTAAAAGGACCAAGGCATCCCCTAGTGGTGAAAAAAACCTCTAGTGATCAAATGAACAAAGTACTCTGAATTCTATAGGAACTAGAATAATTTCAAGCCTAAGTTATCAGAAGTAATGCCACTAACATAATTGAATGAAATGACGATAATACCCTTAAAGTGTAAAAAGGATTATGGATGACTATGATAATGGAAATGACCTGAGAACTTATATCATGGTCCATTGGAATCTTGAAATCACTGATTAAACTCTTGATTTATTTGGATTGCCCCTAAAGTGTAATATGATTCGAAGCATATCCAAGCCCTGGAATAACTAATATTATGAGCTCTGAAATGAACAAATCAACCTCGAATACCAAAATGACTATATTATATGACCAAGTTGAACTGAATGGAAGTACGGTATGTAATTGAATTTGCGGAAACAACTGAATAACTCAGGAAACTCCTAAGCGACCGAGATAAACTTGAATACTAATTGAATTAAGTACCCTGATGACCTTGAATTAAGTGAATAACTTGGATAAGTCTGGAAACGTTGATAATCTTATATGTTGTACCGTACATAAGGGTTTGGAACCACGAATCAAACACGTCGACATTTCTTAATAACGTTGTAATGCCGAATTGGAATAAAGACATTTGGAATATATGTTCATCTCCTTAAGATCCATTCCGCGATGATTATGAAGATGATCAATTCAACAAGAATTATATGTATTAAAAAGCGAATACTCTAAAAGTACAACGATTTGACCGGTTGACATGTATCATTGATGGGACTTGTACAGTTCGAGTTAACTCGATATTTTCTGATAGATTGCCACAAATCGCAAATGCCCAGAATCTTTATTTCTCTCTTCTCAACTCAAATCACTAAGAATTCTCCAAGAACCTAATGCCCAAAATGCCTATGATTTCCTGAATAATGGAACCACTCCTGTCATATCTGAAAACACAAGTAACTCAGATGAAAAGGATTCTGAATACCTTTCTGACTATCAAGTGCCTTCGAAAAATGTCCGAATACTATATGATCCTGATAAATCACATTCTGAATGACTGATGATTTTGTCAGCTAATGAACTCTTTCAATAGTGATTCTAATTTTTGATATTTTATCGGTATATTGAAGATCCATGTTTTCCCTGCCCGATAAGATTATCAAGTACCTCCAAATAATATCTGGAACCTCTAGTGTGTTCCCTGATCATATGGATGTTTTCTCTGATTTTTGTTCTGATCTCTGCTCTAACTTATGATATCTTTGTTTACTGACTAAAATTATTTTTATATGTGGTACTCTGGGACTCTTCTATGACTGAAGAGTCTGGCAGGTTCAGTTGTTGCTGGTAATTCCTTGTATAGGTTCAGCACTGACTGGTAATTCCTTATGGACCTAAGGCGAACCTTGGGTAGGCTCTGCGGCCCCGGGATCTTTCTTGGGTAGGCCATGCGACCCCGAGAATATTTCTTGGGTAGGCTCTCAAGCCCCAAGGTGCTCCCTTTGGTTTTGCAGTTAGGGAACTGTATATAGCGTTCGGTTGGAGGGTTTTACTATGGTTTTTGAAAAATACGTTTTAAACTGCTACTTTTTTAAAAAGATCTGTACTTTTTCACTGGTTTTGTGGGAACACACTAGAAACCCTATTCTGATCTCATGAACCCAATCATCTGAAACAATTTCTCCAAACTAAAAGATTACTGTCTTTTACTATTTGAGATATTAGTGGGACCTTAGCTCAACATAAAAGTCTGTAGATGTCTGAATCAATGTGAAAATATATGCTTATATGTTATCTGTATGTTCTTCAGCATCATCTGGTAATTCTGTATTACTGAGCTTTTCCAAAGCTCACTCTGTTACTCACCTTTTCAGGTTAAAAGGATTGAACAAGTGTAACTATTGACATCTATAAGGGAGTTCCACAGGCGTTACTTGCGGAGTACGATGCATGTGATTAGGGGGCATGTAGCTTGTATTTTGTTTTTATATTCGAGTCTGGAATCTGTTTTATTTCTGAATATTGGTAAATTTTACTTTTGTATTTATAAATTGTTTTATGATTTTACACGTTTTAATATATTTTAATTTTCTTTTTAAAATTTTTACTGTGGGTCGCTCCGGTGGCCCTAATGTGACACCTCAAATCAGATTAGGTCACCCGCATCAGTATGTGGGTGTTACATTTAGTGGTATCAGAGCTTAGGTTGAGTCAAGTTTTCTGGGTAGACTGGCTGGTCGACTGTCATAAAATTTCTGGTCAGTATATACCCCTAGACTACAACGATACTTCTATAAGTCGGAACTCCAAAGTCGAGTTCTTCCATGTAATATGCTAACCTAAGTTTTCTATCTGTTAGGGCTCGACCTATGTATAAAGGAATACCAGTAACATTTGTCTAAATTCAGTAAAGTACCTCACGAGTAATGTGATAGTTGCTTATCCGAGAAATTCTGACCCGACTCCAGAAATAAAATTGGGAGATGTTATTGCTCTATGAACCTAACCTCGTAACCAAGGTTGAATTGATTCCACAAGGATAATTCTGTTCTAATTCTTTTATTGGAATGAGTGAGAGTTCTAACGAGAATGTATACTCAGCTGTTTAAGGATTAGTAGAGGACACATACTTCTGTAAAAGCTACTTGAAGATATAGAAGAACTGATGAAAGCTTCATTTCTGCATTACTCTGACTTGAGTGAATTTCGAGGATGAAATTCTTTTAAGGAGGGGAGAATTGTAACACCCAAATTTAAAGGTCAAATTATAAATTTTCGAAACTTATAGTCAGTTTTAGAAAGTGCAAGAAATTCAGGGACCCAGTCCTGAATTTGCCTATTTTTGTTGGATAGAGAAAAATAAACCCTCTTTCCCCCTCAATGATACAAAAAAATCCCCAATTTTTAAAAACCAAATCCCTAAACCCCCCCCCCCCAATCAAAGCTTCACCAGGTTCCTAATCCCTCACCGTCCGGCCCCCTACTACCCCTGTTTGATTCGTCCTTGACCGAAAACAAAGGTCCAGTTATCATCGAAGCTAATCGATGCTTGATTGTGGTTCTATTTGGTGAGTGCTTGAATAGGGAGTAATCTACCGACCACCCCGACGTCCGTCGCCGATGCACACGCTGCCACGTGTCGGTAGTGTGTGGGGCTCGTTCCCGGTCTGGTTTCTTCTAGAACTGGTCCAGCCGGTCTCAACCGGTCTGAATCGGCTCACCCAACCCGAACCGGTCAACACGACCCGCCTGACCCCACCTGAACCGGTTTGACATGACCTGAACCATTGACCGGTCAGATCGTTGACTTTGACTGAAAAAGATAAAATTTTAAAAAAGCCCTATTTCATGTTTTTGATGTCCTGAGTCCAAATCTGAACTTCGTTTTGCCAAATTCGCACCAGGTAAGCCGTTTTTCAATGTTTTATCTTCGGATTCAAGTTGGTTTCTCATTTAAATTCAGTTTCTGACGTAAATTCGTTTGCTATGTATCCGATGAATTATTGGACATTGAATTATCGGTGGAGCACGAAAATTGAGGTAATACTTTACTACATTTTGTATGCTTTTCGGGACTCACTGATAAATGTTAAATGCGTGGATGGAAATAATTGGTCACTGAGATGTAGTTAATTATCATTGGACTCAAATTAAATTTGCAATAAAGATGGGAACACTATATAAGACTCAGACTGCTCGTAAAAGAAATTGTTAGACCGATCGAAATCAAATCCAAGTTCAGTAATTTAATTAGTAAATCAATTAATCTCGGGACGCGCAAATTCTGATTAATATCGTTAAAGGTTAAATGTTGGAAATATTTGGATAAGAAATTACTAAAAATAACACTATGAGGAAAAATTATGAAAATACCATTGTACTGTAAAAGGACCAAGACATCCCCTAGTGGTGAAAATAACCTCCAGTGATCAAATGAACAAAGTACTCTGAATTCTATAGGAACTAGAATACTTTCAAGCCTAAGTTATCAGAAGTAATGCCACTAACAGAATTGAATGAAATGACGATAATACCTTTAAAGTGTAAAAAAGATTATTTATGACTATGATAATGGAAACGATCTGAGAACTTATATCATGATCAATTTGAATCTTGGAATCACTGATTAAACTCCTGATTTATTTGGAATGCCCCTAAAGTGTAATATGATTCGAAGCATGTCCAAGCCCTAGAATAACTAATATTATCAGCTCTGAAATGAACAAATCAACCTCGAATACCAAAATGACTATATTATATAACCAAGTTGAACTGAATGGAAGTACGATATGTAATCGAATTTGCGGAAACAACCGAATTACTCAAGAAACTCCTAAGCGACAAACATAAATGATCATCCGTGTAGTTATTTTTTAATTTTATTTTATATTAATTGTCTAATTAATATAAAAATCCACTTTCTATCTCGTTGTTAATTCTTTAACAGTGGTTCGATTAATGATATTTTAATAATTGAGTGGTTTGATTAATGATTTTTTTTAATATTTTTTAAACTTCCAGAATGAATAATGAAAGAAGTCTTGCATAAAGAATTTTCTAAATTACAACATTTATTAAACCTAACCAATATCGAATTAATCTATTTTTCGACAAACCATCATCACATGCACAT